TTTAGTTCCTTTTCTGACCAACTCTGCTAGATCTTGGGGGCATACCCAGGAATTGCAGACACAATTCCTGTCATCACCAAGCTATCTGTCCAGAGAAGGCTACGAACATACACTCACCACATGGTGGAGTCTGGAGTAGAATAGAAAGCAGCTGCAATGAGTCTTGCTAGGAGTCACAGGAGTAGCATTTATAAAAGAAGGGGGTGGGGGAGTCAGGGAGGTTTTCTGAAGGAAGCCATGCATGAATCCTAAAGGACGAATGGAAGCAACCAAGGAAAACATCTGGGAAGGGGTGCAGTGGTTAAGCCACCCAGGTGATGCTGGCATCGCACATGTAAGTGTCTGCTTGGGAAGGCAGCAGATGATGGCCCAAGTACTTGGGCCCCTGATACCCATGTAGGAGACTAGGATGGAGTTCCCAGCTCCTGGCTTTGGTCTGGGCCAGCCCTGGCTGCTGCAGCCATTTGGTGAGTGAACCAGCAAATGGAAGTTCTCTCTCTGTCTCTTCCTCTCTACCATTTTGCTTTCCAAATACATAAACAAATCTTTTTTTTAAAAAATTGAGAAGAAAAAGTTTCAGGCAGAAGGAACCTCTGAACCAGTGTTAGAGGCAATGAAAAGCAAGGCATCTTTGAAAACCAAAAACTGGCTCCAGATGGCACAAGCTGCATGTTGGACAATGAGACGAAACTGCAGAAGCAGGCAGAGCCACTCAAAGGAGCTCTTAAAGCTTCCCAAAGAGCTGGGCCTTTCTCCTGAGGGTAAAGAATACACAGGCTGTAGGCATGGTCTACGGTCTATTTTGTGTTTTACAAACATGTTTGACTTCTAATGGGAGACCAAGGGCAGGGAAGCTAATTACAGGGTTGTTGTGATGTGAGTGAGCCATGGCAGGAATGGTGCTCGGGAAGCACAGCAGATTTGGAAACCTATTTAGAAGGCAAAAACAGAAATGACAGGACTTGGTAATAGTGTGGGTTGATGGAGGACATGGAGTAAAGAAGAAAAATCAAACCAGAGGTTTATTTGCCACGTGGAGCTTTGAAGCTAAGAGTTCATTTTTGTTTTTTAGGTGATTGTCACTTTCTTGTCAGAGCCACTGATGGTCCCAAGGCTGAGAAGGTCAAAGTGGGGTAGATGAAGCAAATACCTATCTGGGGGCTTGAATGAGTTCCTGGAAAATGAAATTAAAAGAGAAGTTTATGGGGTGTACTTTTGGTTCAGTAGTTGAGCAGTAGCCTGGGATGTCTGTATCATGTATCATAGGAGTCCAAGCTCCACAGTGAAACTGTTATCTCCATCAACTTCAGATCACAATTTTGCATTACCTGGTAAAATCATAGATGTCCTCATTCCATGACTTACTGATTTTATCCCACGTACTAGTTGAATAACTCACAGGACACCTGGTAGTGGAATAAAATCCTATGAACCTGTTTATCAAGAAACATACAAGGGAGTTGTATACTACTGTCTTTGCAATAGAAGCTATAATAACCCAAACTTGGAATCAGTTCAGAAACACTCACAAGGGACAGGATCAAGTGTGTAGTGGAGTTCTGTACAACAGAGAAATGAGTGAATTAGAACTGCATGTCCTGACACAAAATAAAGTACAGCAATAAAAAGCCCAATACATGCTTTCTTCCCTGTGTCCTCAAGGTCTTACACTATATTATGAAGAAAAATCCAGGACCAGATTCCTACTTACCCATGTTCTATATCCAAGCTATCAGCTCTTCAGACCAACAACTATATTCTACTCACAATTGTGTACCCACAGAGCCTAGGAGTGCCCCTGGCACAGACAGCCTACTCAATCAAAAATCTGTTGAATTAACGCCTAAATTTTGCACATAAGCATGCATGCCAGGAGCTAGATTCTGGTTCTATTCTAGGGTCCTGAGGTATGAAACCCCAGCCTCTGATCTTATCTGCCATAGATGATCCTACCTGTCAGCTAATCCATCTGACTTCCCTAGCTTTCTGGAACCCAGGTTCCCTGAGACATTTCCATGTAACAGCTACTCAAGTCCCAGTATGATCACATTATCACCAAAAAGTCTAAAGGAAAGGACCTTGCTTTTGTTGATAACATGAGATTTTGAAATTTTCTCTGGACTTAATTTCGGCAAACTCTATTATCCCACTATTTACTGTAAATTCCAGAAAGTTGATCTTAGAGAAAAGAACTTTGGCAGACTCAGCACACATGAGGCTTAGAAAAGCAAACAAAACTGGTAAAACACATTAAGAAAACTGACCAATTTAAAGCAAAATAGCATCTCATTAAAGTTCTGAAAAAAGAAATTGGGCTATTCCTCAGACTTTTTGATGTGAGAAATAAAAATAAGTGGAGGTGAAAGTAATGATACATTTTTCTTTTCTGAAGCATTAGGCTACTTTGAAAGTACATCTTTTAAAAATATCTAAGGTGTTCTTGCTTTGAACATTACAAAGTCAGAATACTTTATACATGGTAAAAGTCATCTTTTTATATAATCATAACAATTCAGTCTCACAACATCAGTTGACGGAAGCATGGAGTATATGTTAACGTCAGCTAATGATACTGCCACTGTCAGGTAATTCCATCATCTCTGCAGGATAACATGCCATAAGAACACTGCAATTAACTGGTTCAGCAAGACCAAGTACATTTATTCTATCCAGATTTTAGTATTCCCAATGTGATATATAGTTTCAGAATATTTACAAGCACATTAGGTATTCTTGAATGTCTAGCTTCCAGTTAAGCATTGAATCACAAATATTCTCTTAGGAAGAGAAATGATCACAAATAATGAATATTTCCTCAATATCTAGAAAAGACATGTCTCTGTATCCCCCCCCTTTTTTTTTTTACCAATTTTACATAGATTAGAAGCTAAAATACTCCAACTTCATTTTATTGGCTACAAACATACTTTGTCAGTTTCATTTCAATGGTTTCTTGGACTTCTACTTTGTATTTAACACTATGTTACAGTGTATTTGTGGGCAGAGTCCCTACTGTAATGGAGTTTATGAGAATGGTCAATGAAACAAGATTTACATTCAAGGAAGGTTTACAGAATAAATGTGAGGTAGCATAAAGCCCGAAGTATAGTATAGTTTTAACATTTGAGCTTGGATATATTCTGACACCAATTAGCTTGCTGCTTTTGAAAATTCACTCCCTTCTCTGAGCCTTGATTTCTTCCTTCATGAAAGAAGGCAACCATGTTAGTTACTCTCAAAGTTCCTGCCAAAAGAGCTATTTAATTCCAACATTCTGAGGCTCTAAGCAAGTAGAAGAGGATATGTTTATTAACTGTGTGCATAAATTCACAATACAAGGATCATTTTAAGGTAGGATCAGAGAAGGGTTTATACTAGAAAGTCTTAAGGTTAACCAAGAAGCATAATATAAAATGGCATGACAAACATAATCATGGCATGGTGTTTGACCTAATAAAGACGATGATATTTTTAAACCTGTTCTTTTGACTTTCCATATCTCTGCCTTCTCAATTAATGTTCAGTCATCTCTATTGCCACAGAGAAGTTATAAGAAAGAGATATGCTCAAGGTAGGTATATGAGGAATAGTTTAACTCAATTCACAGAACAATGCGACCCACAAAAGCAGTTGTCCAGCCTAATCCACTCACTGCTCTAGTAACTTTGCTATATTGATCCAGACCTTACATTTGATCTAGAAACTATTAGGTAACACACACACAGGATATTCTCTATTAACCAAACTGTAAGAGGAATGTGGCAGTTACCTAAGTGATTGGATTGGTGAGCAACAGAGGCACATAATTTTTATATTGAGAATGAATTCTTGGAATAGGTACTTTCAGCAATCAAATCATCAAGATAATGTATTTCTCCCCTTCTGCTGTGATTTACTAAAAGATTAACACTAAGTTACCTAATTTAGGACAAAGTCTCAAATAGCTCACTAAAGAGACCAAACAGCTATCTTATGTACAGAAAGCATTATAGACTCAAAAGTTTGTTATTACTTCTGTACTTGGCTGAGACAACAGAACTCCCAGGGAAGCTGCCATCTAGCAGAGGGTGTGGGTAAAGTCTGTGCAGGAGTTCCTTGTCCCTGGGCGCTTTCATTCTCTAGTTCTGAGTCTCCTCAACCCTTACCAGGATCCATCCTCTCCAACTTCTTCATCGTCTTACCTATTACCCTTTGCGGTCCAATGATTTCAAATATTTAAGACATAAAGATATCATTTCTCCTTTTGTTATCTGTCCCTTTGTCCTTTTTCTTTTTCCTCTTTGGGAAAAGGAGAAACTATACAATATTTAAGAAAATGTCTCAATTTCTATTGACCCTTTCTTTATGCATTCTGTTATCTTCTACATGTTAGAGGGAATTTGAGAGTTTCAAAGAAATAGCTTGGGTCAATTTGCCTCAGAAAACTACCTGAGACTATTTAGGACAAGGCAGAGAGACAAGTGGATCAGTTCATTCCTGGGCCATAAAGACAGGGAGCATAGCTCAGTGAATACCAAACACAACACAATGCAGAGAAGGAAGCTTTGCTGAATTCAACATCAGCTAATTGTTGATTTTTTTTTTTTCAGTTTCTCTTCACACATCATTAGCAACATTATCAAACATTTAAATAGGCCCTCCATATGCAGATGTGATGAGCTGCCTGGTTATTATAACATTGCTAATACCGAATATCATGATGTCTTCCAACTATTTTCCTCTAGAATATATGGAAGAGTTTTTTTTTTAAAGTAATTCACCATTATGAATGTCTTATGAGTATCATCAATGGGGCAAGGATGTGGAAGACTCTTTCCCTCCCTTCTCATTTAGAATACAAAGACACTTGAGAATAGAGAAGTGAAATAATTTCTACAAGGATCATGCTTTCTGCCAACACGAGAAAAGAGGTGACAGACTTGAGTAAGAAGAGGTCACATGGTAAGGAAACCATCAAAAGGACAAACTGCATGAGCATGAGGATGTTCAACTCACAGTACCCTTTAATCCACAGGCTGACTCCTTTGCCTCCTCGGGAACTCTCTGCTTCTGCCTCCCATAAATGATGTGGGGGTGAGATCCGCCGTCAGCCAGTGGATGCTTTTGAACAGGCTCAATGAAAAAGTCTCCATGTGGCAGATGGAAAAATCCTGTCTGTAAATATATTCAATAAGAAGGTTTATTTGAAACAATTCCATGCAAAGAAAATTAGCAAAAATCAAAAATCATCTGGGTCATGATAATCTGTGAAAGTCCTAAAACCAGTGCTTTCAGAGTCTACCATTTAATATTACAGAAGGGATGTGTATATAAGTTAAAGAAATGTTTGAATAGTCAGGATCATACAATGTTTTCAGATCATTCATTTTGAGGGTCTTGAATACACACACTCCAAAGTAACATCCAATTGTTCAGGTCCACGAATCTGTCCTAATACCCACAGCTGGGTATCTATGGCCCTCAGACTAATAGTGCTAAATCCAGCATTTGGCTTGGTTGTTAGGACACCTGTCCTGCCTTGGAGTGTCTTGGCATAATAACTGGATCCAGCTCCCAATTTCAGCTTCCTGCAAATGCAGAACCTGAGATGCTATACTAATGACTCAAGACCTGGATTGAATTCCTGACTCCAATCTTCAGCACCTTAGTTGTTGTGATCATTTGAGGGATAATGCAGCAAATGGAAGCATATTCTCTCTCTCCCACCTCTTTTCCCTCTCCCTCTGCCCCCCACCTCAAATAAATAAAAACTAAAAGAGACAAGGCTGCCAGCTGCCTGATTATGGAGTAAGTACCTATATCCCCACAGTCCATTGATAACTTTTGGAACATTTATCTGTATGTGGGTGGCTCAGTGAAATGTCCACATAACCTTTTGATTAAAAGTGCTTAATGCAACTCTTCACTCAAGAAAATAAAGAAACATTATGTCATTCCCTTGATCTGAGACTTCATTCCAGGGATAAATATAAAGTCCACTGCCAATTTCCAGGAAAAAAGAAGCATGTTCAGCTCATCGAAATGAGAATCAGTGTGACATTGGGTGAAGCTGGTCAGTGAGTAACTTCTCTTAGCGGTCAAGTATAGAAGTGGTATATCCTAGGTATATATAAGGAAAACTTCTTAGTGCCTATTTGAGGTGCTTAGAAAATTCCTTCTCCTAGGATGGACTTAACTTTTAGGATCTCAATTCGATATCTGTGAAACAAGGGCCTTACCCTAGACAATCTACTTGGGATATTATATTGAATCAGTCAGGAGCTCAGACTCCAGACTCTGAGGTTAAACTGGCTCCTCCACTTACATTTCTGTGACCTTAGGCAAATGACTTGCTCAGTTCCAGATCTCTCAGTTGAACTAGTCAAGGACTGTTGTGAAGACTAAGTGAGCTAATGTATGATAAACTCTTAAAAAAGGGCTTTGTTCATAATTTTACCCACCACTAGGCTCTGATTTTTTGTCATTTCCTTGCAAAAAGGTTTTCAGGGTCACTACAGTAGTTCAGTGGAGACTTTGAAGAACTATGAAGTTCAAGTTCCCCTCCCCACTCCTAAGCCACCAGGGCTACTCATCTCTGTAAGTGAATTGAAGGCTGGCCAAGCAGCTTTTACAAGAGTCCATAGGGGTTCCCCCAAAGAAGGCAGCTGTCCTCTGATGATCTGTGTGTCCTTTCAGAATGTCTGCTTCATGGTAAATAGTAATATAACCAGATTTAATATAAATCTCATAATCGCTTCCTGTTTTTACTACTTACCTTTAAATATCTTTACTAGCAAGGACAATAGGGGAAAAGGCACTTTACTGGTAGCCATAAGTGTAGCTTGTGTGTTGGGGAGGGGAGCAGGCATTTAGCTTAGCAGTAGAGCTGCCTGTGTCCCACATCAAAGTGCCTGAGTTCAATTCCCAGCTCTGCCTCCTCACTCCAGCTTCCCGCCAATGCAAACCATGGGAGGCAGTGATGATGGCTCAGCTAACTGGATACGTGCCACCACATAGGCAGCCCGGGGCATTTGGGAAGTGAAACAGACGTTGTGAGCTCTGTGGTGTGTGTTTGTCTGTCTATCTTTCCGCCTTGAAATAAAGTGTTGTTGTTTTTTTTTTTAAATAATAGCATATGATCTTCAATAGGTCACTCAAACTTTCTGAGCCACAACACCCTCATCTGTAAAAGAGGGCAATGCTCTCACCTCACAGGGCTGCTAGGAGAATCCAGTCAGCTGCAGCTTGCAGAGTTCCATGCAAACTGCTTTACAAATGCAGACGGGTAATGCCTTTAACTAACAGCTCTAACAGTGGCTATATCTGAAAAAATTTGCTTTATGCTGACATTTCTTAACAGGCATGACAATTTTTTCTCAGAGGAAAACCTCTGGAACAGAAAGAACTGACAAGGCCCAGAGAGTGACATCTAATCATTACAACAAAATAGTTGGAAACAGACTCCATGCAGCGCTGAGATTCAGTTCCATTTCCACTCTGAGTCAGCGAGCAGGCACAGAGGAGAATGTGGGCCTGTTGCTAATGCAACTCATTTGTTCCATGGAAACAGAGAAGGCCAGGACTCCTTGGGGATGGCTGGGCCTGGCAGCTCTTGTGCATTGATCTCAACCTACTATTGATGTCTGTAAAGGAAAAAAAAAAAAAAACACAACCAAAAGACTCCACCAGGAAAGATTTATTGGTGTTTCTTCAGCCCAGAATGTTGGAACCAGGTGGTGCAGAAGAAACATGAGACTCCACTTGAGAATATCCTGATGGTTTTATGTGGACCATACATGAGCAGTCTTGGAAAACAGACAAGTGTTTTCCTAAAGTTTTACTTCTACCAGCATTTCTCTACAAGATTTCTCTACCAGTATGCACACAAAAATCACCTATTCAACCTCAACATTTCTCAGAAGCTGGACAAGGACTAGGAGAGCTGATGTCTTGCCAACTCACAGGCAGGCAGGGCTGCTGACCCCAGGAGACCACAGATGTGTCAATGAGAAGGCACAGTCAGGAAAGGAGATGAAGAGACACTGGCTAGTTGTCAAGAGAATGAGGTAGGAGATTTCCTACCTGAGGTTAGCAGGTGTCCCATGCTCCCAAGACATAAACACAGAGATGTGCACATCTGGTACTCAGGTGGCCTTGGTTTATTGGTCTATTCTCATCTAACAGGTGCCAGACCATGCTGGAAGAAATTAACTACAGTTTGCTTTCCAGAGCAAGGACTGGCTCCAACTTTCCCTGAAGCTAACTGCCCAAGAAAATCACCTTCTTCTATTTCCAGTCCTGGCTTTGAATCAAAGGAAGTGTTCTCCATTGCAGTCATCTCAGCAATCTGCTCTCTTCTCTCCTGTGTTTAAAGGAGAAAGGGAATGGAATGGAAAGAAAGAAATTCCTTTTCATTTGAAAAATCTCAGAAGTCACCAGATCAATTTGTTTATTCCCATAGTGGCAAATATGACTGATATATTCTGAAATCAAAAACAGAAAAAAAAAGATTCTGGATTAAAAGGTACCCAACATACACAACTACAGTGTGTACAGCACTGGAAGATACTACCTGTTCCCCACTACATAGATAGGAAAGGGGGTAAAAGAACACCCTGAAAACCAGCTTCATAGTATATCATTCTACATTTATCACATGGCCAGCCTTGTGCTAAGAGCTTAAGATGGGCACTGACCCCTGCCCTCTAGGTTTACAAGCCAGCCAGGAAGACAAAGCTGATATTCATTGAACAGTAGGAAAGGGAACAGCAAAGCCCTGGTATTTTCATGTTGTAAAGGGCTTAGTGTTCACAAAGAGGACAAATAGGATGGCTGTTTTTAAAGAGCAAAAATTGAACTTCTATACTCTCTAAAACCCTTGGCTCAGTCCTAAAGCCTTAGAGGATCCCAGAATGACCGACTTCCTTGTTGCTGATTTGTCAGGGGCAGAAACATTTTCTCATTTTATATGTGGCCAGGATGATAAGTCAGCAGAAAGTAGAAGTCAAGGGATGATAGAAGCCGTAGAATAAAGACAAATGGAAGTGGATCAGTGGGAAGATTCCCCGAGTACAAACCAGCCTCTGCTGGGATCCCAAGAGTGCCCTGGGTGGCCTCCATGGAGGAAAGAGGAGAGCGACTAGTAATTTAATTGACTTATAAAGATTTTACCCATGAGTTTTGGCAGAATTACTAACTCATGGGGCTTGAGAAGATACTGGATAAACCCAGGCAGGCATTCTCTAGCACATCTACCTGGGAGCTACTGATGCAAGTGGATGTTAATAACATAGAAATATGGAAGATCTGTTCTAGAACAATTCTGTCCAATGGAATTCTCTACATTGATGATTTCTCTATTTGCACCATCCAGATTGGTAGCTACCAGCCCCATATGGTTATTGAGAACTGGAGATGAGTCTAAGGCAACAGAGGAACTAAATTTTTAATTTAATCTCATTTTCAAAAAAACTGTGTCGCTCCCCCTCTTCGTGGAGGAATGACACAGGACCCTGCACTGTTCTTTTGTCTGCTCAGCCCTCCCCAGGTTTGCTGCTGGTCCTTCCCAAGTTGGCTGCCGATCCTTCCACCTCCGTGGAAGGGCGGCTCCCCTGCCACTTTCCCCACTTCCGCGGGGGAGTGGCACACCGCTGGCCGGCTCTCTCGGGGGCTGCTCAGATGTTATCCGGATGTTTCCCTTAGATGTTCCTGGTGCATGTTGTCTCTCTCCTCCTTTATAGTCCTCTTCCACCAATCCCAACTCTGCTACCCACACGCCGAGTATGCTGCTCTCCTCCAATCAGGAGCAGGCTCAGCTCCTGCAGGTTATTGGTTGAACTGGAGGCAGCTGTGTAGAAGTTGTTTACTCCTCTCCCAGCGCCATATTGTGGGAGAGCAGATGCATAGAATAAGTCTTAATTCCAGTAACTTAGTCTAGTCCGAGTTGCTCCCCACAAACTGTCCCTTAATTTAATTAAACTTTGGTTATTAATCTTAAATTTAAATAGTCACAGAGAGTTAATGGCTTCCTTATGGGACTGTTTATTTCTAGAAACTGGCTGACTAGCGAAGAAAAAAAGCCACAAGGTTTTTCATCACACATTGCTGAGTGTTGTAATCAAGGGCAAATTTGGGTATTTGTCTTAAAAGTAGCAAACTGCAAAAATGGGTCTTAT